CACTTCAGTTCTACCTCTTTAATACCAATTTGTTTCAACTTAAAAATCATTAGTTTTCGATCAATGGTTTCAAAAGCTCTTTTCAAGTCAATAAAAGCTGCCAGTATTAATTTTTACCTTCTCATGTCTTCTTTCCATTGAGAAATAACCCAGTAAGTGTCGTTTCACACGAATGTTTAGCTCGAAACCCTGACTGCTCTTTAATTAATATATTTTTATCTTCAATAATTGGTAGAGTATTGATCGGTCAAAGTTCTTCAGCTTTAACTGTGTTTTTAATTTTTTTGACTGGAACCACTGTGGAAACTTTCCATTCATCTGGTACGATACCATCTGTTATACTTTTGTTGATCATAGACAGGGCATTCCTTGCTGAAAATGCTATGACCTGTATCGAGCTTAAAACCAAGATCTTTATTTGCATCCGCACAATTTCCACAGACAGGATTTGTTACCTGTGTACTACACTCATCAGATTTATGTTCACCCAAACATAGACCACATCTTAACTTCTTAGTGCATGTATTTGCGTTGTGATTGTACCCTAAGCATTTGAAACATCTTTTAACATTTAGCCCATCATATACGCCACACTGATCCCACCCGATGTTAATCTTCTCCCGTTTTAGCACTTCCAAGTATTTCTCATGTTCAATTTCGATGATTGCGCTAAAGGTGCACACCGAGCTATTATCTGCGTTTCTTTATACATTCCGGATAATCCAATTTCACAGCCGGAATAAACAGAAAGCGTTTGAAATATACGTCAACATATCATCAGGAACGTTCTAAAGAATAAATAAACAAAAAAGTTTATTCCAAACGTTCAGAATGAATAAAGAAATGCAGCCATTATTTCTTCTTTGTTTAAAAACTTTCACACATTTTATAAAAGCATTTTTCAGGAATTCGTTTTGTGATTTTATTTTAGCAATTATTTCAACATCATTATATTCTTCGCTCATATTGGTGACTCTAATTTTTGGGTTAATAACTTTAGATTCTCTGATTTCGTAAACTTGAGAATCTAATCTATTTTGTAGGGTTGTTTTAATTTTTTCCTTTTCTGAATTGTCGTCTGCCCTAATAACAACTGACCCATTGGATTTATCTATCACCTTATTAATTTTCATGTCAGTGGCATCTATCTTATTTAGGTCTTTTTTTGTTACGCCAACACTTTGTTTTGATTTTGGCTTAACAATAATAGGCGGGACACTTTTTAAAGCATTAGCATACGATGTAATGCTGTTACCATTGTTTGTGTTTTGTTCACCAACTTTTTTCACCTCTTTAATTATCTCCTCTCTTTGCTTAGACAAACCTTCAGCTGATTTCTCTAAGTAATCTTTATTAAAAATGCACAAGTTTTCCACCCTCTTAATTAAATCATCTTTCTCCTTATTTGCTTTTTTTAAAGTCTCCATTACCCTCTTAATTTCTTTCTCATTGCTAGCTACTAATTCCTTGATTTCCCTATTATGATTGTTTATTAGGCTTTCGAATTCCGTTTTCTGTTCGCATATATTTATTTTGTTGCTTTCCGCTATTGATATCATTTGTTTGAGCGCATAATCAACATTCGATATGTATGTAACACAGTCATCACACATGAATCTCAAGTAGGGGCAATTTACTAAACCTTGCAAACAGTAGTCATCTATAGATGCACACGCTTTGGTTTTGTGATAGACTCTACCACACACACCCGCACAGTGCAATCCAGTTTTATCTCTTATCCCTTTTCGGCACTTGTGACACTCTTCCATTATTCACTCAGCCACCGCGCTTTTGTTTACCGTTTTGTTTATTTTGTGCAAAAGAAAGTGGAATTAGAAAAATTATTATTTAGGGCCCNCTTGTTTAAAAATATCTCATTACTGGTATAGAGTCACTATCTCGTAAAACCATCAGCCGAGTTTATACATGAATATAAGTTTGAAATATCTCGATTTATAAAAAATTATTGCAGAGCAATCAAATGCACGTCTATTCACGTTGACTTCTCTCTCTTCCCCACCGCTTTCATTATCATTTAATGTAATATAGCCAGTTAAACACTGAACTCTGATGATCTGTATTAGTATCTATATTAATAGAGAATCATNATTATCAAGAAGAAGAACGAACAACGCACGTATACACATAAATTAAAGAAAACAAAAGCGAGTGGAAATAAAAGAACATGGTCCCGCCGGCAAAAAAAATAAAGAAAAGCTATATAACTTGCAAGATTTAATTTGAGATTTACATATGAAAAGGCGTTATGTATTTTTTTAATTAAAATACTATTTTACAGGGAGCAGTTCAGAATNCTATATAACTTGTAAGATTTAATTTCAGATTTACATATGAAAAGGCGTTATGTATTTTTTTAATTAAAAATACTATTTTACAGGGAGCAGTTCAGAACGCAGAATCCTTCTGGAAAAGCGCATTGACAAGGATGTTTGGTTCAGTTCAAAGAACGCCAACAGCAACGAAGGCTGGAAGTGAGTAAGAACAATAAAAATAATTTGAAGACTTTATTAAGCAAATGACTTCGTACTCCACTGACCATCCGTGGCGCTTTTTGGGAATGTGAGTTACAATTTTTCGAAACAGAGCAGAGGATNAGTTATATAGACTCAAATTCCTGCCAGCGCATCCGCCCAGACAGCTCATTAAGCACACCCAAGTTCGAGTGATCTACAAGTTACAAGCCTACACATACATATGTACAATAGTAATTGCTACCGTATAAATTCAGGACATGCGTTTGCTTGGAAACTCCGTTAGTTAGGTGGTCATAACTTCTGCCAGCACATTCAATGGTCCATTACTCGGGGCTGATCCAACATGATGAGTAGATTTAAATGAGTCTCACATGCCACTGCATCTCGCTACAAGCTGTATATGAAATTCACTACTCGTCAAAGGATGTGCATTTTTACGTAAATTTGGTTTAAGTACTAGCGTTTTCAGTATTTAACAATTCATTATCATTTACTGTAATATAGCCAGTTAAACACTGAACTCTGATGATCTGTATTAGTATCTATATTAATAGAGAATCATTTGCAATTTTTTACACTTTCGTAGTTAACTTCGGTCACTATTATACACTCATGTGTTGTGCCACTCTGCCATATCACGGTTGTTGCTCCCTTTCATACCACAGCAATTTTGTATACAACTCTGAATCAACAAATTTCATGCTCCTTCTCATTATCAACCCTGATCAGATTTTACCCCCGAGGAGTACTCAAAAAGGTTTATTACTGTATATACCGTGATAATTATATTGGGTAAGTCCTCCATACAAAATAAGCTAATAGCTCAAATTTCTGGACAAATAAAACACGGCTAATGTTTTATCCTGGTTAAATTAACAAAAATACCATATAACTTAAAAGAAAATGGTCAGTGCATTAAAAGTGTTTACAACCAAGTCACATTTATCTATTTTACGCACCTTTGGATGATAAAATTGCACTGCTATACCTTTTTTATGGGCTGTTTTTGCTTACACGTAAAAGCACATAGATGGTTGCCACTTCGTCAGTTTTACAGATGGTAAAAAAGATATAAGTTCCTATTCAAAATATGTTTAAAATATTTGAAATTTACTATTGAATAAGGTTTTTGTTGAAAACTAAGTAGTTTATATTTAGCTAAAATCTATTATAGCACGAAAAATTGTAGTTGAAAGGGTAATGCAGCGTTTTTGCTGCATTTAAAATGCAACATTTAGCGCTTTCAAACATATTTTTTCGAAGAGTGTTCATGCTATCGCATTTAGCAAATGTACATTTA